ACTCCTGGACAGACCCTTGACGGTATTTGAACAATTATGTTCAGATCAGCCTCCTACACGTCACGCAGTATCTTGCCCATACTCTGTAACCACATACAATGTTTTTTGTTTTTTTTTGTATATGACTTTTTTCTCAGTCAATAAAGAATTTTAAAAAAAAAATAGTGCTAAGTGTTCATATGTGATTTGCATCTTCTTTACAGCCTCTCCACATGCAGTGTCTGCAGTTATACCAGGCTGCATGTGTGTTTCTAAAGGAGAATATTTTCTATTTCATTGCTGGCTGCATTTTTTTCACAGCCAGCTCCTGAGTCCACATGCTAAGTGGCTGCGTGTGCATTTTTACAGGCAGGGCATATATCCTAATTGTTGCTTGCTGCATTTTAAAAAATCTTTTTTGGTAAAAAAAACAGTGTAATATTCTTAAGCAATATGCATCAGCACAGAAGCCTATTTTTTCCCATGGGAAGCATGTGACTGCCGGTTTTGCAGGCAAGAAATTGTGGCAAACAATCTACCTTCCTGACCTTTCATGGTGGCAGATATTGTACTGATTTGTAATCCCTTTTGCTTTATTAGATAGGGAGGAGGTGTGTATAGTGAAGGTGAATCAAACATCTTCAAATTTTGAAATTTTGTCATGTTTGAAATGTGTTTTTTAAAGGAGTGTGATAGATGTGCCAATTGATGTCAGTATTTAGAACTGATGTCCTTTATTCTTGGGTGTGGAGTCTTTTTGTGTCCAAGGAGGTAATTTTCCAGGCCACCTTTTTATGCATAATGGGGGATTAACAAGGTGAAAAATTGTTGTCTGTCTTAATGGCAGAGGGGATTGCTGAATTCAGGGGCCACAAAGAGGGAGAGTAAAAAAGGTGGCTAACAGAAGAGGTGTTAGCTAGGGGAGGAAGATGAGAGAAAGGGAGGTAAAGAGAGGAGGAAAATAGTTAGGTGATTGGGTCAAGCAATATCTGATTCTAAAATTAAAACACAGGACAGTGAGCAGACAATACCCCCTATCTGGGAAGACATGGGGACAAATACTGTGTGAAGCCATGAGGCACTGCACACTCTTTCAAGATGCAATTGCTTTAACAACCCCTTTTTTCCAAATTGGAAATATTCAGAGTGAGAAAGACTGTGGGGCAGCAAACAGAGTACATTTACAAAGTTTGCATATTACAGTGTATGTACATATTTACACACACCTCCATTTAGCAAAATTATTATTTTTATCGTTTATGCTCGTATATGTATATGGGTTCAGGTACCAGCCTATAAATACTTTCTAAGATCATTCTTTAAATTGCACACATTTAGAAGCTTGGCTAAGTGCTAAAAGAGCTCTATTCTAATATATTTTTGAAGCATTCTCCATGGTTTTCATGTGTTGGCATTTATGATGTTATTGTGTTTTTTATCTTGGTTTGCGTATGGTCAGACATGTATTGGCAGTTATAAGATTTTATAACCAGTTTAATATCATAGAAAGTCTTGGACTTAGAACAACCAATGTGAGTATAATTCAATAGACTGGCTCTACAAAAATGCAGACCCACAGTCTGTGAAGTCATCAAGTACTATTCAGTATGGAATTGCATTTACCATTTAAGTACCAGGTGCAGTGTGGGTATACCACATAACTGACTTTTACAACATATTCTTGATGACTAATATATATTATTATGCATCTATTTTCCTTACCAGCTATTGTAAAATATTTTAAAAAATTACTCTGTTTTCTCTTACTGAAATAGAATTAAATTGCTAAGCACAGCAATAAAGGATGTTGAAACTCCCAGCTGACAGTCTATAGAGCAACAAAGCTATAAACTATATTTATTTAATTCACTCCAGCAACAGTTTAAAGTAAATGAGGGGAATTTATCAAAAGTGGAGCAGCTAAAATCTGGAGCAGTTGTGCATGGCAACCAATCAGATTCTCTTCAGTTAAAATTTGAAAATGAAAGAGAGAAGCTGATTGGTTGCCATGCACAACTGCTCCAGATTTTAGCTGCTCCACTTTTGATAAATTCCCCTCAATGTGTTTTGCACTGAAAGGTCTTCATGCCACTACACCAAAAACATGATTACTTACATAGTGATGTATTGCCTTGTTCCACCTTTCAGACCCCAAAATGTAATAACTTCCTTTTAAAAAAAACAAAAACACATATGTGATCAATTATGACATAATTAGAAATTAAGAAAATATTCTATGAATCTGATAATCAATTATGATAGTACTGAATTCGAAGATGTTTGCCATTCAGAGAAAGAACGATTCTCAAGCACTATCAATCACAGTAATCACAGTTAATAGAAGGGTAGAACAGGTATAATCCAAGTAGCAAAACTTCAGCAGAAAAAAATAATTTATAACACATAGGATTAGGCAAGGTACGCAACATGTGTATGAGCGTGTCTATGCCTATAATAATAGTTAAATCAAATAATTTTCTTCATATAGCTTATACAAGAATTTGATATTGCCGTCAAAAGAATAGGAAGCAAGGAAGAGACCGGAGGGACCTACACCTACCAGTGGAAGGGGTGCAAAAGGGCAAATGGGAAAGTAAATAGTAAAGTCTCAATCTATTAAAAAGGAGCAGTCCAGAAGAGTTAAATGCTACATCTGAATATCCATGTCATCTACCTAATTACACTATAAAATTGTGTGTGAAGCAGCAGGTGTTCATTAATATGTAACTAACATCTAAAAGCTTCATATATGGGATGTATAAAAAAATGATAATAGGACTAATAATGATTGCTAAAAGTAATACTAATTAATATTAAAAAGAAGAGGGCTATGTAGTACAGTTACTGTGTAATAGCCAGCAGTTCCAGTTTTTCAAGAATTTGTGCAGGGAAATATGCCTTAGCAAAGAGATATTCAAAATGGGCATGGATATTGAGAATATCTAAAACTGATTGTAATGAGAGAGGTTCTGTGTGCTTCCAAAACCGCACCATTGCTAGTCAGGCTGCAATAAAGACATGGGACACGGTTGTGTGAAATTTATAAGGCTAGTGCTGGATTCAGAGGAATCCGAATAAGTGTTACCGATGTGATAAAGGGAACATAAGTTACCACAGTTCCTCTAACAGAGTGGAGAAGTTTACAGAAAGCCAATTGCCAATTTTTGTGGAGTGTAATACTGCTTGTGAAGGAGCTTTAAGAGTGATTCCCAGTGGGTTACACATTAAGACGTTGTTAGTGGCCTGCTAATAGTGCAACACCATTGTTGGGTTGATATGGAGAAGTTTAGTCTCCTTTTCACACCCAGAAGAGTGTGGATGCTCAAAGTGTCCCATACACAATTTAAAGTATTTTGTTATATCTGTTAGTTAAGTGCA